AAGAGACCTCATGGGCCATCCAGTCCAACCCCCTGCCAAGAAGCAGGAATATTGCATTCAAATCACCCCTGACAGATGGTCATCCAGCCTCTGTTTAAAAGCTTCCAAAGAAGGAGCCTCCACCACACTCCGGGGCAGAGAGTTCCACTGCTGAACGGCTCTCACAGTCAGGAAGTTCTTCCTAATGTTCAGATGGAATCTCCTTGTAGTTTGAAGCCATTGTTCTTTGTCCTAGTCCCCAGGGAAGCAGAAAACAAGCTTGCTCCCTTCTCCCCGTGACTTCCTCTCACATATTTATACATGGCTATCATATCTCTTCTCTTCTTCAGGCTAAACATGGCCAGCTCTTTAAGCTCCTCTTCATAGGGCTTGTTCTCCGGACCCTTGATCATTTTAGTCACCCTCCTCTGGACACATTCCAGCTTGTCAACATCTCTCTTCAACTGTGGTGCCCAGAATTGGACACAATATTCCACTTGTGCTCTAACCAAGGCAGAATAAAGGGGTAGCATGACTTCCCTAGATTTAGACACTATGCTCCTATTGATGGAGGCCAAAATCCCATTGGCTTTTTTTGCCGCCACATGACATTGTTGGCTCATGTTTAACTTGCTGTCCACAAGGACTCCAAGATCTTTTTCACACTGTACATGTTGTGACCCTCACCAGCCTTATATACAATTCAGAAATACATATTTTTCAAAACCAGAAAGAGACTTCCAGCCTTCTCCACTTTGTTTGGGTAGTTTTCACACCATTTCCCAGAGGAAGAAAGTGGGTTCCATACCAACCACTGCTTCCCACCCCCACATTATGCAAAATTTGCTTTACTCTTTCCAAAAACTTGCAATGTATTTTTTTCTGCCAAAAATAACAAGAACAACTGATTTCAAACCAACCAATCAATAATAATAATGGTATTCAAAACAAAATGACATTTCAAAATAGTAGAAGCCATACAGTCATACTAGCATACATATCTGTTAAAAAAATAATGGGGAGGGCTGAGCTTAATTGTAGCAGCACAAAAGGGAGCAGAACCAGCAGCAGTCATCCAGCATAACAGTTCACTTGAAAAAGCCATCTAAAAACAGTGCTCTGAGTTTCTGTGGGATGGACACTTCACAGATGTTGCAACAAACAAAAAGGTCCTACTCTTCATGAACACACATGGTATTTCATTAGGCAAAGAAACACAAGACAGAACCTGAGATTTCAGTGCGATGTAGAGGAGTTGGAGAGAACACATACAGAAAAAAACCGATCTTCCAAATGCTTATGCGCCAAGCTACTTAGGGCTTTAATAGAAATAGCATCTGAAATCAGCTGAGAAAGGAGCACTTGATCAGTGAAGATGAAGCAGACCTTGGTTAAGTTATTTTTTTGGACTGTTCATTCTCGAATGCCCAACCAGGATAATCCAAAGGGGTTTTCCCCTAGTTCCAGAAGAAACATGCTCTGAGTGCCCTATTACTGTTCTGTTAAGAATGGCTTCAAGCACATCATTCTTCTTAAAAGGAAATTCTAAGCCCTGGGAAGCTCAACCAGGAAGTCACATCCATCTAAGTTTATAAACAGCATTGCAATGGGGCCGCAGGAGCACAGCAGGTTAAACTGCAAGCTGTAAGAAAGCTGTTGACCGGAATGTTGGCAGTTCAAAGCCGCTGGTTAAGTGAGCTCTCACTATCAGCCCTAGTTCCTACCAACCTAGCAGTTCAGAAGCATTCAATGTGAGTAGATCAACGGGTACTGCCTTGGTAGGAAGGAAAAGGGCGCCACATGCGGATATGAAGATATGCTGGCAACACTTTCAGAGATGCTTCTGTGAAGGTGTTTAGAGTGGCTTGTAGGTCTTCTTCTGAATGCACACAGACAATGTTGTCATCAGCATATTGGAGTTCTATAACAAATGTTGTTGTAACCTTGGTTTTGGCTTTCAGTCTGCTGAGGTTAAATAGCTTTCCATCTGTCCAACAGATGATTTCCACTCCGGTGGGAAGTTTCCCATCAAGACGAAGTATCATAGCGATAAAGATGGAAAATACAACACTGTCTGAGCTCTGCGAGTGCAGCATTTTTTGAAATGAAGCAGAGTGTTTGAGGACTGGGACATCCATAGGGATACCAAGGTGCTTGTTTATAAAGCTACTGTCCGCCCAACCCTGCTATATGCCTGCAAGACGTGGACTATCTACAGATGTCACATGCAACTCCTAGAATGATTTCATCAGCGTTGCCTCTGAAAAATCCTGCAAATATCTTGGGAAGAAAAGCAGACAAATGTCAGTATGCTGGAAGACGCAAAGACCACCAGCACTGAAGTGATGGCCCTCCACCATCAATTCCGCTGGACCAGCCACATTGTCTGGATGCCCGACCAGTTTCCCAAAGCAGTTGCTCTACTCTGTGGCATAGACACTGAGAACAGGGAAGCTCATGCCCTTGAGCGCTCCAGCTGGAGGTCAGCTGTGACCAGCAGTGCTGTAGAATTGGAAGAGGCACGAATGGAGGGTGAAAGAGAGAAACATGCCAAGAAGAAGGCACGTTAAGCCAACCCTGACTGGAACCTCCTTCCACCTGGAAATCAATGTCCTCACTGCGGGAGAACATGAAGATCAAGAATAGAGCTCCACAGTCACCTACGTACCCACCGCTAGTACACCGATCTTGGAAGACAATCCTACTCGGACAACGAGGGATCGCCTAAGTGAAGGCATCTACATACAAGTTCTGTGTTTCTCTGCATACTTGATACAAGACACTAAAATAGGACGATTGTCTCCATGTCTTGCTTTTGGACTTCTTGAAGACATGTTGTGGTCACCATGGTAAACTGGATGCTGGACCAGATGAAAATGTTCAGCAGGCTTGATTCTGTTATGTTCCTTTGAAAGACACCTGAGAAAACCGGTGCCCAACTGTCTCTAGAAAACACCTGTTCCATATTTTTAGTCTCTTTGGAGATTGAATATCCAGCTATTATTTTCAGCATCCATAATGCAGGAAAAACTGACCATGCAAAAGAAGCAAAGCTTCCCTGTTTGCTATTGTAGGAAATCCAGAGAAAAAAGAATTAATGAATACACCTTTCTGAGAATTCACAGCTACCCTCTGAAGCACCGAAAGACCACCCAACCAGTTATAGCCTTCTCAAATGACCATTCTCATGGCACTGTCACAAACTTCAGTGACCTTCATGCCCCTTGTTAAGTGTAGTCGGAGAGCTTAAGCTTTCCATCTGTAATGAAAGAGGGCTGGCATCACTTGATGAGCATGAGCGGGTGTGTGTGAAGCCATCCTGCACTTGCAGTATTTCTATAGATACCACACATAACTCCAGCCATTAGCATGTGCGTTCTGAGTGACCTTGAAGTCAGCCCATCAACAGGGAAAATTACACACTGAACAAACAAAAAAGGCCAGAAGAAAACAGTAGGGCAATGAGTAAACTCCATGGGTTAAGGCAAGGGATACACGTGTGGCTCTGACTGTGGTTATGAAGGCCTGCCTTGCCATTGTCTGATCTCAAGCAGTAGCATAAAGTGGCACTTTGTAGAGGTCAATAAATCATTCCAGGTGGTTTTTATTTTCCAGCAATATGCCATTTTCTTTCTGTTGTTTCAACCAGGTCTAGAAAAGCTCTATACCGGTGGTTCTCAACCTGTGGGTCCCCAGGTGTTTTGTCCTACAACTCCCAGAAATCCCAGCCAGTTGGAAGCTGACTCTGTGGTCAGCTTCCAACAGAAATTGAACATAGAACCACACTGGAAGACCTATAAATCCCTAGAGCAGTGGTTCTCAACCTGGAGTCCCCAGATGATTTTGGCCTACAACTCCCAGAAATCCCAGCCAGTTTACCAGCTGTTAGGATTTCTGGGAGTTGAAGGTCAAAAACATCTGGGGACCCCAGGTTGAGAACCACTGCTCTATACCTTCCAGAATTTTACCAGGTCACGTGTGGCCAAGCAACATCAAAATGTGGTCAAGGTGACAGATGTTATTATTGAAGATGAACAAATGAACTAGGAGAGACCATAGCAGTTTGCTTTTGCCTGGGCTTACTGAGAAGGGCAAGGTTCTACCACTTCTTCTCTTCTTCTCTCTGCTAAGTTGATTACGAGGGTTGAATGAAAAGTAATGCCTCCACTTACGTAACTCTTCAACAGATGGCAGTTCTGGTATGCAGCAGTAGACTCTCCTCTACAGTTCCATTTTGGTGGGAAGCCTTAGCATTGAACGGTTGTGTTGTTAAAGTGCAAAGTATGGAATCCTTCGCACTTAAGCAATGTGCAGTCCTTGAACTCTTGACAGCAGAAGGTGTCAAGAATGCAAGCTGTTTATGGTGATTGTGTTGATGTGAATACTGTGCGTTGTTGGGTGAGTAACTTTAAAGATGTTGAGGTGGGAACATCTGACATGTGACAAACAAAGAGTTGGACGTCCTGTGACAGCAACCACCGAGTTTCACAAGCAAAAGGTTGACAGATTGATTCAGGACAATCGTCTTATCACTCAGAGAGAAATTTCAAGCATAATTGGCATTTCACAAGAACGTGTGGGTTACATTATTGCTTTGCTTGGCTATCGGAAGCTCTGTGCATGATGGGTTGCGGAATCACTGTGACAGCTTCAGAAAACTTGTTCATCGTTGGCAGAAATGTATCCAATTGTCTGGTGATTATGTTGAAAAGTGAAAAGTGGTAGTTAAAGAGCACATTCTAAGGATGATTTCTGTGTTTGATTTATTAAAATATTCCCATCCAAACCCAAGTAACGAAGGTGGAGGCATTACTTTTCATTCAACCCTCATAAGTGCCAATTGCATTTGCATTTTGAACTCAGTTTTCCAACAGCTGAATTAAGTGGAAGTCAAAGAGAAAAAGTGGGAGGGGGAGAAGAAAAACTGAGATATTTTTAAAGCAGCTGAAAAGATGGAGCAACAGAGGAATTACTGGGTTTGTCCATGACAAATCAGGACAGTCAGGGGTTATAAAACTCACCGCGTTAAAGTTGGGGAAAAGGTTGAGCGGGGGTGTCCCATTGAGGCGGAAGGTCAGGAAATGCTTGATGTCCAACGGGGAATGGAGAGACCGTCCTGGGATTGGAAGTGATGTTAAGAGGGAGCTGCTGTGACTAGCTGGGCCTATGAAGAGAAGAGAGATAAGAAATATTTCAATGCTAAAGCAGATGCTTTGAAAGGAGCATGAGATCAGATGATGTTGCACTGCAAAGAAGTTATTCCAAAACAGTAGCCTGCAAACAGAACTGCTAATTGTGTGGAGCAACTATGGCCTTGATACTTATTGAAAACCAATGGTGTTGCTCACTGTGTATTTTTCCCCCTGACCTTCTATTTTAAAAACATTGGTCAGACTCCTTATCATAGTCTACATTACATGACTTGACACATACTTAAATTCACAACAGAAATGATGCAAAAACCTGTCAGTGAATTGCAAAGGTGTATAGCACCGGGATTGTGGCACAGCTGGTTGGGAGTCAGCTGCATTAAGATCACTACTGACCAAAAAGTCATGAGTTCAAAGTTAGCCCAGGTTGGAGTGAGCTTCCAACCAATTTGTGTAGCTTGCTGTCGACCTTTGCAGTCCGAAAGACAGCTGCATCTATCAAGAAAGAAATTTAGGTACTGCTTATATGGGGAGGCTAATTTACAATGCCATAAAAATCTCCAGCAAGCATGCAAAGAATGAGGAAGTACTTCATCAGTGTCACAAATGGACGGTGAAGCGACAGCTCCCCAGTGGCCAGAATACCCTCATAAAAAAGCTCGAATGTTAAATAGCCTCTATGTGTCTGTCTATATATGTTTTGTGTCTATGGCATTGAATGTTTACCATGTATATATACATTGTAATCCACCCTGAGTCCCCTGCGGGGTGTTAAGGGCAGAATATAAATACTGTAAATAAATAATAAATAAATAAATATAGAAGACACCAACAAATGTGTCCAGATGTGCTTTGGAATCTACCAATTCTAATTGGTACTCCATAACTGGCGTCCTTATGTACAATTGGTCCTGCTGTGAATAGGTTATATTGTTGGCTCCCCTATATAGCTGCAGCTTCTTGCTGGATACGGATGCTATAGAACTGTGACAATCTAATTCCCATAGATGTACGTTCTCAACAGGATTCTGGCTAATGTTCTCATTTATTTAAAACTGTTTAGTGTATATTCAACTGGGCATAAAGGGAGGATGTACAGATATTTCAGTAAATGAATGTGTGTGTGTGTTTGTGTATACATTTAAAACAGCATGATTTACTTCAGTGCAAAGACCTAACAGAATTACCCACTCCAGCAAATTCGATAATTCAATCACTCCCAAGCCAGGGATGCAGCAGAATGAGCCATAGGAGGCTCCCCATTGTGTCACAACAGGTTGCCACTGTGGGCTTGTGCCCTTCAAGTCATGAGCCGCAGAAAAATTAATGACTCATACAGGCATAAAAGGCAATACCAATAGAAGCAGTATATCTTTTCAGTTGTCACAGTGGAGTATGTCTCCAATTTCAAATAACAAGAAATGACACCTGCTAACTTTGGGAATAGGTTCCCTAAAATCCCATGTATCTTTCACACATATTAGTTTGACCCCGTTTTTGGCCACTGGCACCTTGACTTTCAGAGATAGGATTGATCTGAACACACTGACATTAATTGGTCCAGAGATTGGTTACCTGTATTGTACCACACCATAGAAAACACCAGAAAATGAATTACAAGCTCCAGAGGAATAGGAAAGCAATAAATGTCGGAAATGTCTTAGCTGTCTTGGATAGATCTAAGTATGTGAGGAATCATAATTTTTCTAACAATGATACAACTCACTTCAGATCAAGAAAAGAAATTATAGTGTGGTTTCCATCATTTAGGATACAGTGATGAAAGAGAACATGACTTATTTTATTTATATATATCCTGTCCTTCTACATACAGTGCCTGTTCCACCCTTCCCAGCTGGATACCAAGGTTTTCAATATTTACTCCCATTGGATTAAATCAACATGGCCAGTAGCCAGAAATACTACATGTTGAAGTTCAAAACAACATGAGAATACTAGGCTGAGGCAGTATTGTTTAATGTTCTGATCCAGGTTTTGCTAATAAGTATTTATTGATTTTACTCAGTTTGACTTTACATTGTATCCCTTAACTGATTTTTCTACATCTCACCTCTCTATTAATGCCATCATGCCCCTTCTTACATTGTTGTTTCCAGAGTAAAACACTATATAATTATCTGATTGAAAATCTCCTGTTCCTGTCTGCTTTAGTTCAGTCACATTAAGGATCTCATCACATGAGAGCAGAGAAAAGTGGAGGGAACCATCTTCTTTCATTCTCTACTGTCGAGGTCCCATGCCTTTTCATATTAAGGGATGGCAGCCATCCCACATTGTTTCCGTACTTCTATCCAGCTTTTCTCTGGCTGGAAAGAAGTGCTGCGCTGGCACAATGGGTAAAACCCTTATGCTGCTGAATTGCTGAACTGAAGGTTGGCTGAATTGGTGATCTGAAGGTTGGTAGTTCAAATCTGCAAGACAGGGTGAACTCCCATCTGTAAGCTCCAGCTCCTGCCAACTTAGCAGTTCGAAAACATGCAAATGTGAGTAGATAAATAGGTACCACTTTGGCGGCAAAAGGCAAAAAGATTCTCCAGCCACACAAACAGGAGGTAACACCACAGGCTCCTCGGCTTGAAAATGGAGAAAAAAAGCACCTCAGAGCCAGAGATGAGCACCACCTCCGGAAGCCAGAAATGAAAGGAGAAGCTTCTGTCACCAATCACCACTGGGACCACCTTTACTGGTTTGTGCCAGAGTCTTTGCAGTTCGATCTTTAAATCCGCATATTGTGTCAGCTTTTCCAGTTGTTTCTCTTCAATCCTGCTGTCACCTGGAATTGCAACATCGACGATCCAGACTTTGTTTTTTAACATGATCATGAGGTCAGGAGTATTGTGCTCCAAAACTCTGTCAGTCTGAATTCAGAAGTCCCAGAGTAGTTCGATGTGTTCACTTTCTGTAACCTTTTCAGGCTTGTGATTATTATTATTATTATTATTATTATTATTATTATTATTATTCTGTTGTCTGGAGTCAGGTAGTTCCCGGTTTCTGAAAATGCATCTTCCCTGTTTCCCTGCGCTGCCGGAATTGAATCCCATGGGCAACCATCAGAAGTGGCCTTATATCATGTGATGGCCTCTATGGTACTCCTTTTCAGCAGTGCAGAGAAATGGAGAGAAGACTGCATCTGATGAGAGCCTAAGTATGGCTATATTTCTTGAGTTTTGATTTCTGGTTTTCCCCGATCCATGTTTCTCCGAGTCCATGTTCCTATCTCATCCACTGTGCAGCTTCCTGTTGTCCTTTCACTCATGAGAGTATGGCAGCAGCTGAATGTCCTTATGGTTTGAACGCAATTGTGACATTAAGTCAATAACTTACTTGTCCTTGTCCTCTGTTCTTCCCCACAAACTGGCGAGGGCCTTCTGGCCTGCAAGACTCATCTTCCAGCACAATCTCTTGCTTCATTTTGAATTGTCTCATTATGCAGTGGTTCTCAACCTGTGGGTCCCCAGATGTTTTGGCCTTCAACTCCCAGAAATCCTAACAGTTGGTAAACTGGCTAGGATTTCTGGGAAATGCAGGCCAAAATAACTGGATGTTGTGACTCTGCTGGAACCACAGAGTGCCTCTGACGAGGATGATGGGATTCAGGATCACAATCTGGTTCAAAATGTCCCTGTTATAGTCAATGAGGAACAGAGTGTGAAAGTTCAGTTTCCCACAGCAAGAGATGATTTATTGATACTGAAATTAGCCAGGTGCAGGTGCAAATTGACTCAGAAAAGGAGGACAGTTCTCAGCCTGATAATGAGCAGGAAGGCAAACTGGATAACACTAACGAACAGACTGACCTTGACGAAATGGGAACCTTAGATCGAGCTGACCGTTTGGAATTCAGAGTTCGAAGGAGTGAGAGAATAGCTAACAAGAAGGAGGTCAGAGGCCAAAGAAATGCCTTCATGTTTTGCAAAGGGTATTAAGCTGTGTGTTCAGGACCAAACCTTTGTCAAAGCAACTTTTCGTTTAACCAAGAAGCTTGCACTTTGCTTGTCTGGATTGTCTTGCAGTTCTTGTGTTAATGGTTTCAGGACTCAGTCATGTTCTCATGGGATTTTGCTTTGCTGGTGTCTTTTTGGATTATGCTTCAAAGTTTTATTTTGTATTGATCTTTTGGAACATAACTTTTGCTTTTAAGAACCTTTTATCTTTTACTTTTTAATAAACAATAAAGACTTCTGGCTGTGTGCAGTTTGGTGTTTTCAGCAAGGTGAACCTATTCTGAGGTGCGACACTGGAGGCCCACAGGTTGAGAACCATTGTCCTAGGGTTTTTCAGGGAAAAGGCATCCCTAAGTAGTTTACCACAGTCTACTTCGATGATACACAAATATGGGTTAGCTACCATCTGAGAGCATCTCAGTGAAATTGTCTCCCACTGTCAATTGCTTCTGCCCAGTAATTCTTCAACACATTTGGTCTCGTCCCTCTTCGAAAACCTGTTTGACCTTGGAGACAAATCAGTAGCTACTATTGCAACAACCTCCTACTTCACTGAAGCAGTGGCCAGGTTTGATATTAAGTAAATTTTAAAATATGCACACCTTTCCCCACTACAAATGATTTGATTTTTCACACCCATAATTCTGCAGACAAATTCTCATAGACCGCCCCCCAGCCCAATGTAAATGTTATTTATTTATTTTCATTTGCCAAGTATAAAACAAGGGGGTCAGAAAGAAAACAGATCAAAGACTATGTTTTAAAAAAATCTTACAAAACCCATCAGTGTTCACATTTTTCTACAGATTGCAGTATCACGGGCCCAAAGATGCCTGGAAGGCACAAATGGCCTCTTTCTAGCAGATTGGACAAATTTGTTCTTGTCTTTGCGGAGGGAACTGCTCCCCGAACCAGCTCTGACTCCAGGGGGGTAAACTACGGCTTGCTACATCAGGCATGTACTGATCAAATTAATGGCAATGTCACCCAGAAGGGAAATCTGGGGAACAGCAGAGGGAAAAAAACACACAAACATTTCCCCAGAT